TCTCGCCTTCAGGTTTGGCCAAAACAAGTGCTGCTGAGCTTCGTTGACAAGGAAGTCCAGAGGACGTCATTCAATTTCCGAAATCAAGTATTTACGGTACATCCTGCTACTTTTCATGGCCAGGGAACGCAAGAAGGCGCCACGCTCCACTGCAGTGAGCCCCGGCAGTCGATACTCGTCCCCAAGAGCAACTTGCGATTGACACCGTCTCTGTGTCTCTGTGAGCCTCCTCACCCTCTCTCCTTTGCCATTTGCTGCCATCTCAAAGGGCCGTGAGACTGCGTGGCAGATGGCCGCTTCAATGGCGGACAGAGCACCTTTACCTCTTGCTACTTAATGTGAAGTGTCATGTCACACAACATGGGTGACTCATTCCGCCCCACAAACAGTTATCAAGTAGTTGCCATGAACTCGGTCTCTTGATCCGCACAGTTGAGTGGAAGTCGTTCGGTGTCTGATCGAGTCACTCCTGCTTCTCACTCCAGTTGTCTCGCCTGATCGACTCACTGGTTCACTGATAAATAAAAGAACACAGGAACAGCGAATGATTCCGATTGAAAACATACCAAACTGAACGCAAATTCTCTTCGAAATGTCGTCCGCCTCGTCCTTCCAGCTCACACCCGGGTGCATCGAACACATGATGCGCGCCGAGCCCTCTGTCCCGCTGGCCGCCGGCTCGGTCCTCCAAGTCCTTGGCACAAAGCCCGTCGCAAACAACCCGGCCTCAGGTTCCGCGGGCGCTCAGCCCGACGAGCGCTGGCGCCTGGCCGCCTCGGACGGCAAGCACCAGGTCAACTGCCTCGCCTCCACGTCGCTCTCGCCCCTCATCCGCCAAGGCGACATTCAAAAGTTTACCGTCATTCGCGTCGACAACTCGATTGGCAGCTTGGTTCATGGCCGCAAGATCCCCATCATTGTCGCTTGCACCGTCCTCGGCAATCCCACCGAGCGGATTGGCGAGCCCGTCACTTGGACCGATCAGATGCAACAGCAACCGCCACAGCAGCAGCAGCAGCAACAACAACAACCCCCGTCCGCGTACGACAGTCATAACCAATGGCCCGCCCCGACCAATACCAACCAGCAGCAACCCGCAGCCACATCTGCTTATGCCCCTCCCGCGCAATCGTCGTCGACCAACTCGTACGGAGCCGCCGGCGCCGGCGCTAGCCACTACGGTGCCTCGTCGTCCACCGCAGCCTACGGAGCCACCTCGTCGGGCTACCAAGCACAAGGCCAGCAAAAGCCGCAGCAACCCTCGTACGGCGGCGGCAGCGGCGCTACGGGCGGCCAAGACCAGCTCACGCCTATCGCTGCGCTCTCGCCCTACGGCAATGCCTGGACCATTTGTGGCCGCGTCACATCCAAGGGCGACATGCGCACCTTTATCAACAAGAAGAACAACTCGGAGGGCAAGCTGTTTTCGTTCACGCTGCTCGACGAGTCCATGGATGTGCGCATCACGTGCTTTGGGTCCGAGGTCGACCAGTTCTATCCCGTGATTCAGCAGGGGCGTGTGTACAAGGTGTCTGGTGGCCAGATCAAGCCGGCAAATCAACGATTCAGCACTGCCCAGTGCCAGTACGAGATTACGGCCAGCCGCGATACCGTCATTGAGGAGGTCACCGACTCGCCAGCTGCCGCGGGCATTCCCTCCATCAAGCTTTCGATTGTCCCGCTTGCCGAACTCATCAATGTGCCCAAGGACGCCATGTGCGATGTGATTGGCATCATTGAAGACCCCGGGCAAGTTGCCAACATCACGTCCAAGGCCACCAACCGCGAGCTCACCAAGCGCGACGTGACCATTGTCGACCAGTCCGGATATGCCGTCAAGCTGACGCTGTGGGGTGCCCAGGCTCAAGAGTTTGAAGGCCAGACGGGCGAAGCGCTTGCTGTCAAGGCCGCCAAGGTGGGTGATTTCGGTGGCCGCACGCTCTCGTACAGTGGCGGCTCGTCATCCATGATGATCAACCCGGACATTCCCGAGGCCCATTCGCTGCACGGGTGGTACACGAGCGCCAACAAGCCCGCAACGTGGCATTCGCATTCGGGCACGAGCATGGCAGCCGCGGGTGGTGCCGGCGGTGATCTCATGGCGAGCCGCAACGAGGTAGTGCCCTTGATCGATATGACGGACGAGTCCGTGGGCAAAGGCGCCAAGGGCGACTGGTACACGTGCGAGGTGTACGTGACACACATTCGCAACAACTCGATTGCCTACCCTGGATGTCCCAAGTGCCAAAAGAAGGTCAATGTTGGTGCCGGCGGGTGGTTTTGCGAAAAGTGCCAGTCGACGACCGAGCACCCAGACTACCGCTACGTCATGTCGCTGTGCGGTGCCGACGCGTCGGGCCAAATGTGGTTCCAAGCATTCAATGATGTGGGCAAGGCCATTTTGAACATGGACGCCAACGAAATGATGCAGTTGCGGGAGCATGACCCGTTGGCTGCACAGGCCGTCATGGACGAGGCACTCTTCAAGCCGTTCCGGTTCCGCGTGCGCGTCAAGGAGGAGATGTTCCAAGGCGAGGCGCGGCCCAGGCACAGCATCATGGAGGTGACGCCGTTGGATAATGTGCAGAGTATTGTGGCATCGGCACAGTGGGCTTTGGGATTGATTCGTGATTACGATGGCCAGCAGGTGTGAGTGGATTTGTTCAGAATATTAATATCTCCTTTGTATTTTGGTTTATGTATCTTCTCAGTTCCTATGACAGCATATTTCTTCCTCACGCTGTCATTTCTTTTCTTGTGGATGTCAATCCTCAAAGCAGCTCTCAAACCTCTCAACTGGAGAGGAAATTGTTTGCCGCCGATCTCGTTCACGAACGCCACCGAGCGCCTCGATGCCACTCAACGTCACGACCATTTGGCATGGCGCCCGCCCATCAAGGAATCAAGGAAGAGCGAATGATCCATTACGATACAATAGTTAATTGCAACGGATTCTCACTTGCTGCCCAGTGCATCTGTCGAAAAGACCCACTGCGCACCCTTTCCAGCCAACCACCACCGGTCACATCCGTCGCCGCCCATCGTCAACGCCCAGATACCGCCAAAGCCAACCGCCATCGTGCAGTGCCATTGATCCCGCTCTAGGTCGTGGCTCTCGCATTGCATCCTGCAGCATACTAGACAATTTCAAAGCAGCACGAGGCACAAGTCGCTTCATCTCTCTCATCCGTCACCATGTCGGTCCGTATTGCGCGACGTTGGTGCCCATTGCGCCAAACCACTTCCTCGTGTCACAGCACGGTATCTCACCACGGACCATCCAACCTGTTCCATGCCAATAGAATCCCGATTTGCGCCCGCGCCGTGGAGGCAAGAAGGCCTTCCAGTTCAACATGATTGTTGTTGGTATGCTGCTGTTGATACGTGTTATACCTGTCAACTGTCGGCGTGCGGCTGACCCCCATACTGGTTTTCGATAGGCGCATCTGGCCTCGGAAAGGCAACTTTTATCAACACGCTATGCGGTCAACAGGTGATTCCCCGCCGCAATGTGGATGATCCCGCACAGTGTGCTGCGGAAAAGTCAATTGCAATTAACCCAATCACCGTTGGTTCGTTCGTCCTTGATTTCGCATCAAGCATCGCACGGCATGCGATTTCCGGAAACATTTCATGCTGACCGCCGCCACTTTGATTTGCTTGTTAGAACTCGAGGAGGATGGCATCAAGATGCAGCTCACCGTCGTCGATACCCCCGGATTCGGTGACAACATTGACAACTCTTCAAAGTACGCAACCTACTTGCCGCCTTGCACCGGATTTGGACATCCGTCCTCTTTGCTGCAATTTTTTTTTTTCGCCCACAGCCCACTCACCATTCATCTATCGTCAAATTCTCCTGTACTCCTACCCACAGCTTCAACACCATCCTCGGTTACGTCGAGCGGCAATACGACGATGTGCTTGCCGAAGAATCCAAAATCAAGCGTAACCCGAAATTCCTCGACAACCGCATCCACGTGCTCTTGTACTTTATCCAACCGACAGGCCACTCGCTCCGGGAACTCGACATTGAGCTCATGAAGCGCCTCAGCGCACGGGTCAACATCATCCCCTGCATTGCCAAGTCGGACACCATGACACCGCGCGAGCTCATCGAGTTCAAGAAGCGCGTCATGGAGGATATTCGCTTTTACGACATTCATGTGTATGACTTTCCATACGATGAGGAGGATGATGATGAGGAGACAATTCAGGAGAACATGGAACTTCGGGTATGTTGATTGTGTTTCCTGGTTGTGCGTATCACCAACCCCACGATCTCACGCATCCACATTCCGATTCCACAGAGCCTTCTTCCCTTTGCGATTGTCGGCTCGGACGAGGAAATCATGGTCAACGGCCGCCTGATCCGTGGTCGTCAGTACCCTTGGGGTGTGGTTGAGGTGGAAAACCTCAAGCACTGCGACTATGCCCGTTTGCGCTACGTGCTTCTCTCGTCGCACCTGCAAGACCTCAAGGAAATCACACACGACGTCTTGTACGAGCAGTACCGTTCCGAGAAGCTGTCCAAACTCGAGGGGCTTGCAGAGAAGGTGGCCGCCATGCATGTGCAACAGTCGGTTGGGTCTTTCTCACAGCAGTAAATGGTCAAGGCGCAACGGCGAGCATGTTTGAACTTGTTGCTTGTCATTGTTTTTCGATTGCGACTTGCGAATTGTTCCCTCCATTTGTTCCCTTTCTCTCCCCTTTTTGGCTGGCCCGCGCTTCCTCCCTTTCGTTCCTTGGCGTGGCTTACCAGGCTCCCGGCCTGCCTTGCCTTTCTTTTGTGCTTCCTGTTTGACGTTTTAAACCTGTTGATTGCTCTTTCGTTGTTTGTTCCGAACGCACAGATATATACACGCACTCGATTTCTTGTTTCGCAGGTGGATGTCAAGCTGGACGTTGACGCCAGGTTCCGCGACAGGCGCTGCTGGGTGTCAACCATTGAGGACGACAAATGAGACGCAAGTGTTGCCAAAAAAAGGGCGAATACATTCGGGGACAGGCCGGGATCGAACCGACGATCTTTCGCACCCAAAGCGAACGCGATACCACTTCGCCACAGTCCCACACTGTTGCGGAAGGCTGGTACGCCGACAGTGATTTATAAGAGCTGGTTCGCCGCTCAGCTCACGCCCTTGAGGGGGTCTGTCCCGAAAGCTCTCTTCACACAACACACCAGGAAACCAACCGTTCCTGTGTTGATGAGAATGGAACTTACACTCCAGCTGGCAACGTGTTGCATCAAAAGGAGTCCAGAGAGACAGTGAGACACAAGCGATAAAAGCGAGACGCAGCAAAGGCAACAGAACCGTGCGAGTTTGCTAGCGATCGGAAAACACAGACTTTGGTGTGGAGTCTAAGCGGCCATTGGCGCCTGCCGAATTTGCTTCGCCCTCAAAGATTCCCGAATCGTCGCGAGGAAAACTTGCTGCGCTTCGGGCCGGACATATCGAGCGACGTAAATAAGATGGCGAATAGCGACCACGACAACTGCAGTTGCATTGGCCGTCGGAACATGGCCAGCAGCGGCCGACGAGTCCAGTCACCAAGGGTAGATTGAAGTGAGCGGCAAGCCTGGTATCCACAGCACGTTACCAATGCGAACTAAGTGGAGCAATAAATACATTCTACAAAACAGTTCCAAATCAATTTCCCCGTTGAATCAACAAGACAAGCACCCTGGCCAACACATCAATACTCCTTGCCGCCTCCTCAGCCGTCGGTCCCGCCCCACTTCCGCCCACCCTCTGCTGCATGATGCCCACACTGATCGAAAGAACGCCAATCGCCACTGCCGTGATCAGAATGAGTGCCGGCGCGTCTCCGTCAACGGGCACGTACGACCTGCCCATGCGCTTGACGAGCGGCAAGGGTTTGAAGGCATAGATTCCGGACGAGTCTGGATGGTTGGTGGGTGCGACGTGCGAGGCAGAATCCATGAGTTGCTCAATGGTGGATGCTGGGGGTGGGGTGCGGAGTGGAGAGCTGGGAAAGTCTGTGTCAAAGCGGAGGGCCGCGCAACTGTTCATAGATATTGGGTGAGTCACGGGGAATTGTGTGTTTGATGGGAAAGAGACCAGGTGTCAGCGTACTTTTCATCAAACTGCCAACCTGTCATACCCTGAATTGTGGCAAGTGGATACCGTCGGTACAGCCGGAGCGCGTGCTGAATCCACGTATCCACTGGCACGTCTTGCGGAACTTTGGAGAGGAAGGAATGGACAATTGGGTACTCGCGATCGAGTTCCATGAGATCCTCCTTCCGTTCGAGAACAACCTAGCGTGCAGCAAAGGATGAACCGAAGTCAGACTGCGTGTGTGAACGGCAGGGTGCAAAGAAAAAAAAAAAAAAAAAAAAAAAAAAAAAAAAAAGCACATACCGCGGCCGCGACATAAATCGGCATGATTGGGTTGGACGACAAGAACAAGTCGAACAATCGGCAAGCCTTGTCAAACTCGCGCAGATCGTGCGAGAACCAAGAGATGAACCAGCTGAGGCAAAAGTATGGGTGCAACTCGCACTCTTCCAGGAGGCGATAAATGTCGCGGTCTTCGGACTTGATGATGGGAAGGATGGCGCGCATGAGCTGCATGACGGGCTCTATGTTGGTGTGCATGGCGTCTCTGGGATGGTGGCAGGGAGGATTGTGGGGAAGTGTCAGCGCATGGTTGACGATGTGGACAAGGCGGAACACAGGGCATGGACACGAACCGCAAGAAGAACAATGCCAAGTTCTCGACTGCTTTTGAAGCGAGATGCTCATCGAGCACAAGCAACAAGATGGTGCAAACGTCGTGCAATCCTTGATAGTAGTGAAGGAAGGGGTAACGGGCGCATAGCCTCACGAGAATGCGTTGCAGCTGTGCCTGGCGACGAGCCTTGATGGATGGTGGCGGTTCAGCTGTTGGATTGGCAGGTGGGGAAGGGTGCAATTGGTCCTTGAAGTGGACAAACGATCGGTTGACGTCGAGTTTGATTTGATGTGCATAGGACGTGGATCTACGCGAGAAAGGGAAACATCGCTGGACTCGGTGAGCAAGCGTGCTTGGAGGGTGTCTACTTTCTTGAAAAAAGGAGATGGAAATCCTACAATGACGCGTCAAAGGCAGACTCGACAGGCGAAGAAGATCCAGACGCTGAAGACGTTGACGATGGGCATCGGAGAAGGATAGGCCAAGCTCGCCGTCGGAGATTGGTGGTGAAGAAACCATGCTGCTGGCCAAGTTGACGGAGACGGGCAACGTCGTGTCTCTCAATGGCTTCGCGAACGTTGATCTCATCCACAGACGTGCTACTGGTACTACCTGCGCCGGCGCTCGCGGAGGACATTTTTGGAAAGCTCTATCGAGAAGCCAATCCGATATTGCGCATACAGTGCCGAGTCGTGGCGCAAGACAGAGGGCGGAGGGATGGACGGCGTCTTCTCTGGACGATCGGCCAGAAGGAAACTTGTCGTGAACGGAAATGGTGCGGTGCTGGGTAACCGTGGAGACGATACTGACGTCGGAACGAATCAAGTAGTGCAGGATAGAGGACAGCGGTCGGTGTCGAGAAATGTGGGGCAAAGGCGCCTTCTTGCCAAATGGTGATTGATGGCAGGGCGGTCGAATGGTCGGAGACGGCGGTGCTCGAACGGAGACGGCCGCGAAAAAAAAGCGCGGGAGCGGGGCCAATTCAAGCGGCGGCAATTGTGCAAAGTAGAGTGGTGGAGGGAATGAATGCATGGGTTTGTGCCGACAACCGACTTGCATGCTTATGGGTTCCGCAAGCATCCGCGGTTGACGGTTGACATGGAGAAGCCGACACACGAACAGCCTTCAGTAAAGGAGTCAAGCCCGAGTCGGAATGGCAAGCCGCGCGAAACATCGGCAGCCTACGAAGCCCGTCGAAGCTCCTCAGATGAGGAGTGGAAGTGCCACGGAACTGCGTATTCGAAGACGATTTGATCCGATCTAAGGGCCGCCGATCCGTCTGTTTGGTCTGTATGAGTTGTGAGTTGTGAGTTGAGAGTTGAGAGTGACTTCCTTACCGAATGGCTGACTTACCGAATGGCAAAGCAGACCGAACGCCAACCTGTATCTCCATGTAAGCGACTCGAGCGCCTTTGCCCGCCATGTTCATGTCCTCACTGTCCCCCGCATTCCGCTTTGCGGGCGCTTCTGGCCTCAGCCTGCGGTCAATGGCCGCCCGCTCAACGCTGTCAACGTCGTTCGCATCCGCCGCTGCCCGCCCACTGGCTGCCGCCACGCTTGCCGCAGCAAACCAGAGCTACGCTCCGATCACTGCTCAATCGCCCTCCGTTTCTGCCCGCTCTGTCCACAACTGGGCCCGGTCCGACGGCCGCTTCATCACCTATCGCCCCGTCACCAACGGTCTCCGCCACCGCCGTGATGTTGACTTGAAGGCACTCGGCGTGTACCAAGGCTCGCCCGTTCCTGAGCTCACCATTCGCAAGATCCGCTCCTCTGGCCGCAACCACCATGGCCGCATCACCGTGCGTGGTCGCGGTGGTGGGCCCCAGCGGATTCTGCGCACCGTCGACTTCATTCGCCGTGCACCCGGTGCGCAAGAGGTGGTCAGGATCGAGTATGATCCCTTCCGGTCCGGGTTCTTGGCGTTGCTCAAGCACAAGACGACCAATGTCTTGTCATACATTGTTGCGCCGCAGGGGCTCAAGGCAGGCGATATTGTCCAGTCGTACCGGACGGGCGTCCCCGAAAACTTGGCCAATGCCGAGCCCGGGACTGCGCCCCCCACCATTCAGATCGGCAACTGTCTCAAGATCAAGGACATTCCCGTCGGTACTACCATTCACTGCATTGGATTGCGCCGTTGGGGACCCGCTCAGCTGTGCCGCGCTGCCGGGACCTCGGGCCAAATCATTTCCAATGGTAGCGAGGGTTATGCTCAGATTCGGTTGCAGTCTGGTGAAGTTCGTTTGATTCATGTCGAGTGTGTTGGAACCGTACGTCAATGCTCACCCCTCCATATGTCGGCCTACTTTGGTTGTTCACAAATCGCTTGTTTTCTTTTCCGCGCTGATTTCAGATCGGCTCTGTCTCAAACCCTGATTGGATGCACCGCGTCCTCGGCTCTGCTGGCGCCAACCGCAACCGCGGTCGTCGCCCCAAGGTCCGTGGTGTAGCCATGAACCCATGCGATCACCCACACGGTGGTGGTGAAGGTATGCCGCCTCGGCCGATTCCTGCCTTCCCTTGCTCAAAGCATATCCCGTGCGCTCACTTCGTTTCATCTCCTGGTACCCAGGTAAAACCAAGGGTAAGATTCCCGTCACTCCCTGGGGCATTCCCACAAAGGGCTTCCGCACTCGCCAAAAGAGCAAACCGTCATGGTGGATTATCAAGGGTCGCCCGCGCGGTAAGCAGGCCAGTTAGATTTTGTCTTTGTGTTCATTTTGTTTCTGCTGTAGCTCACTGTAGTTTTCTTCTCCTCGTTCGCCTGTTTTTGATCCCACCTGCCAACAAGATCCCATTGGAATGTTAAGCATGAGTTGGGTGACCAGATAGTCCCTTTGCATCAGGGCATCGCAAGCGATGAATGTGACACAAATTGGAAAGCATCACTTATCAATAAATACACATGACACACCCCAACTACAAACACATAGTAGCACACAAAGTCATTTTTTCTGGGAGACATTGTCAATGCGGACAATCCCGTTTCGTCCACCAGAGGCGAGCCACCCAGAAAACTCGGGTGTATCGCACCAAGCACACTGCAAAATGTATAAGTAAGACTGGGGTTTGCGAAGAAAAGTGTTCACGAAAAACAAGAGCGTACCGCTTGAATGGAAGCACGAGGATCAACCCTGAACACAATGCCGCCTTCCTTGCGCATGACAGCGGGCAGGAGTTCCTGGGGACATTGAACGAAGCGTTGAGGTCGAGGTCGAAAGGTTCAACACCAGACAAGCAACATTCCGTACCTTGGAACGCAAATAGCTTCCGTACGTAAACTTTTTGCCCTCGGCGTCGCACTCCATGGAATAGACGGTCGTCACGGACTGCTTGATTCCGCGAACTTTGCTCAAGAACGGATTGGACA